TTTAATATAATTAATAAATATTTAATTAATTATTAAGAGAAGGAATTACTGTATTAAGGGTTAATAATTAATGGATAATTAATTAGATATAATAAAGGATGGATTAGGTAAGAAGTTATGAATCTTCTGGTCCGGATTTAATAAAAAGATTATTTAATTTCTTTTAATATTGTAAACACTTAGTATAATATGGTTCTAAGAAAATCTTAATTAGAAGCTAACAACTTAAAGATAGATTAGTAGAAAAACACTGTTAAATAATTATTACCGGAGTTAAGTACTAAAGGTTATAAACTTGAGCATTAGAAAAAGGCTAATTTAAATAAACTTAGTACAGTAGTAAAAAGACACGTATTTGCGGCTTTCGAAAAAGCTTATAAGATAATATCTTTATGCATATTATAACTTATAAAACTAATTAAAGAAATAAAATAATAAGAAATAACGAAAGGAAAAATTAAGATAATATATAATAAACTTATTAACGTACATAAAAAATACCAAAAGAAATACCTAAAACTATTTGCCGAAAAACTGAATATTAATATAAGAGTTTTAAATTACGGACCTTATAATTATAAAATAAACTTTAAAGAAAAATAGTTATCCAAATTAAATAAGGTATATTTATTAAATACAGATAAATAAAAGGTATTAATAAAAATCATTAAATAAAAACTCGAAAAAAGATATATACGGAAATTAAATTTATTAATAAGGAGTTTAATCTTTTTAGTACTTAAGAAAAATAAAGATAGAACATTAAAATTAAATAATAATAAAAATATAATATATTAAGATATATATAATTACTAATATCTTAATTTTATTATTAAATAAAATAATTATTTCTTATTTAATATTAATAACTTAATAAAAATGATAAGAAATATAAAATAGTTTATAATATTGGACCTTAAAAAGGTATTTTATTTAATTTGGATAATTGAAGGTAATAAATAGAAAATAGCAATATAAATCCCTTTTAGTTATTACGAATATTTAATTATGCCATTCGGACTTATAAATGCACTAATAACATTCTAAGGAATAATTGAAACTATATTATAGAAATTTCTAAGAAGAACAATTTTTGTTTACCTAAATAATATCCTAATCTTTTCTAACACCTTTAACTAATACGAAAAACACGTAGACGAAGTATTAAAAGCTTTAAATAAAGTTAACCTCTTAATAAACCTAGAGAAAAGTGAATTTTACACGTAAAAGATTAATTACTTAAGGTATATTATTACACTTAAATAAATTAAAATATAAGATTTAAAAATTGCAGCAGTACAAAATTGGCTAATATTAGATAACATTATTGTTATATAATAATTTTACAGCTTTACTAATTATAGTAAATAATTAATAAAAAACTTTGGTAAAATTATAGATCTTATTATAACCACTATATAAAGGAAAGAAGGAACTTTTCAGTGGACGTTAGAGGCGGATAAGGTTTTTAAAGAAATATAGAAAGTTATTACCAGTAATCCAGTAATAAGATTACCTAAGTCAGACCGGCTAAAACGAATTTATATAAATGGATCTAATGCAGCCATAGGCACAGTCTTAGAATAACTTAAAGATAATGGGATATGGCATTTAATGGCATACTTATCCAAGACTTTCAAAGGAGCTTAGACGCGATATTAAACCTACGACAAAGAATTACTCACTATAGTTATAACATTTAAAGAATAAAAATATTAGCTTAATGGAATTAAAGAACCAGTTACAGTACTATCTGACCATAACAACCTTAAAACGCTGATAATTACCTAGAAACTGAGACTAAGGGTCCAAAGATGGGTAAAGTATCTTAGTAACTTTAACTTTAAGATAATTTACGTTGCAGGAAAAGCAAATATATAGGCAGATGTATTTAATAGACCTAACGGTGTTAATATAAAAGATATAATAGAAAAAAAAGCAGTACTTGTGTTAAACAAATAAAGAGCACTTATTTTATTAACATTATATCTTACAGAAAAGGATAATACTTAGATAATATATATTTAAAAAGCATTATTAACAGAAGAATTACCTCTAAATATTAGAATAAAAGAAAGAGTAATTACCTACTTAAGTAAGATATATGTATTAAAGACCTTATAATATAAGTTCGTTAAAGAATATTATGAATATTTATTATATAAATATTAAAGAATTTTTTGAACGATGTAACGAATTACAAGAGATTATAACTTCTTAAAATTACTTAAGGTAGTTAAAAAAGTAATTAACAATTGTAACATATGCAACAAAACGAAGGTAATTAAATATAAGCCATATGGACTTATGTAACCTACGGAAATTCCGGACAAAGCTTAGAAAACCATCGCATAAGATTTCATTATTAAACTACCGCCATTAAAAGAACTTATAATTAATATACCATATGATAATATATGGGTAATAATTAATAGGTTAACGAAATATAGATATTTTATATTATATAAAGAATTTAGCACAATTAAAAACTTAATTTATATATTCTTTAAGTACGTAATCAATAAATACAGATTATTAGAACATATTATCTTAAATAAAGATAAGTTATTTATATTTAAGTTTTGGATTAGCCTAATAATTAGAATAAGTATAAAATAAAAACTGTTAATAGCATATCACCTATAATTAAATGGATAAACAGAGCGTCTAAACTAGACATTAGAACAATATCTTTATATATACGTTAACGAAATATAAGATAATTAAGTAAAACTATTACCATAAATAAAGATTATATATAATAGCTTTATAAATAAAGATATAAAAATATCCTTATTTAAAGCAAATATTAATTACAATTTTACCATTATAAAATTAACCGGTATAAAAGAAATACTTATCCCTAAGGTAAAGGCTACAGCGGAACAAATTATTACTACGTAAAAATATCTAATAGACAAGCTTAAATTCTTACAAGTAAAAATGAAAAAATATAGTAATTAATATAGGATTAAAAGACCAATCTTCAAAAAGGAAGATAAAGTTTACTTATTACAACAAAATATTAAAATTAAAAGATTAAGTAATAAATTAAATTATAAAAAACTTAAACCTTTTAAAATCGAAAAAGTTATTTTAGAAATTAATTATAAATTATTATTATTAATAAAAACGAAGTTATATTTAATATTTCATATTTCTTTATTAGAAAAAGCACCTAAAAATGCGTTAATATAGATTATCTTAAATGTTAAAGTTAATTAAGAATATAAAATCGAAAAGGTATTGGACTTTAAACGATTTGGGAATTAAATTAAATATTTAATTAAATAGAAGGATTACCTACTAAAGGAAAATATTTAGGAATTAATTAAGTACTTTAAGAACGTTTAAAAGTTTATGAAAATGTTTTATTAAAAAAATCTTAATTACTTATAAATAACGACGGATTTATCCCTAAGTTAAAACCATTTTAAAAGGCGGCGGCCCCACTGGGGTCGTCCTTGGAAGAATTAAATGGTATAAACGGATTAACTTAATTAAAAATAACTTAATTTTTATCCTTCTTTTCTTTTAAACGTTCAAATTTAACCTCTTAACATATAATTTTAATAACTTTAACTTTTAAAGTTTTTTCTTAAGTATAAAATTAATTAAGTTACTTAATATTTGCAGATATATTACTTTAATATTAATAAATTTTATTAAAATAAGTCTTAATTAATAATTAACAATTTTTAATTTGTTTATTTAACAAAAATAACTTTTTTTTAACCTTATAACGCTTTTCCTATAGATAAAAAAGTTCTAATAAAATATTATTTAAAGAATTTATTTCTATTACATTATAACCCGAACAATAGTTATTTTTAGCATAACGATAATAAATAAAAAAGTTTTTAATTAAAAAATAGAAGGTTTTATTAGTACGAAAATAATAAGAACACAGAAAACCATAAAAACCAAATAACTTAATAAAAGCAGCACGAACTTTATAAGCGGCTCTTTAATTAAACCGATAACGGGTTTTGGAAATTACTTTCAATATATGTCCTAATATTATAAAAAAAGTCAACTTTATTAAACTAAAATAAAATAAGAGGATAAAAGAAAAGAACTTACCAAGATCTTTAAAGATAAAAAGGCTTAAAAAGAGGGAAATAATATTACGAACTAATAGGCACCGAAGCCATACCTAATATGGAAGCAGGGATATCAACTAATGCCTTTTTAGTTAAACTTCAGATAATTGGATCTTAGAACTCTTATAAATCTTATAAATTTTATAAGATCCTTCGAACCAATAAGATCCATAAGATCCATAATGCCCTTAAAAAAATATCAAATAAAAAGGAAATTTATAAGATATTTAAAACCATTATATATTTAGATATTTATTTATATTTTCTTAACTATTAATTTAAGTCTTATATTTAACTTATATAAGGGGAAGGACTTTAAACCTTCTTAATAAATACTTTTAATATTTTATTAACACTTGACCCGTATCGCTACTATTTACCTAAAATCAAAACCCCTGCTACTACACTTTAACGGACTTAAGTGTAAGTTCGTCACAATTAATTATAAATATAAATTATATTTAATATATTATAAAATTATTATAAAAAGTTTATTAATAATTTATATTATTATTTAATAAAATTTATAATTTAATTAACTTTAATATATTTATTTTTATATTTTTATAATAAAATATTAATTATTTTTTTAATATAAAAAACTTAAATAAAAATATTTATATATTTAACTTAATAATATATTTAATAATAATTTTTTTTAAAAGTTAATTTTTTACGTAATAATATTATAAATTTGTATTATTAGTAATTATTAAGGCAATTACATAATGTATTAAAAAAGACACTATATAATTTCGCAGTACACTTAATATTAAAAGACTAATTTTGTTGGAAAACGCGAAGCGCGAGGTTTAATTTAATCTCTTTCTCGTCGTAATACATTATGAATTGATTGAATAATATATTATTGAAATACGTATATTATTTTAGGTGTATGTGTGGACCGCTGACCCGTGTGGACCGCTGACCCGTGTGGACCGCTGACCCGTGTGGACCGCTGACCCGTGTGGACCGCTGACCCGTGTGGACCGCTGACCCGTGGTTTATGTTACTATAATATGATGGTTGTTATTATGTTATCATCATTTTAAAAACCCCCTTAGGGCCGTAAAGTAAGTTCAACCTGTTTTTTTTTTTTCCCTTTCTTTCTCTGTACATCCCTTTGAAAATCTTCATTTCCCATCGCACGTGCGGGAATGGGAATGGCCCCGATTCCCATAACCATCATCACAGGTTTCCTAGGGTCGGGCAAAACCACCCTGCTCCTTAACCTAGTCCCGCAGCTCCGCGCCGCTAACCCTGCCTACCGCCTCGCCCTCCTGAAGAACGAGTTTGGCGATGTAGCTATCGACTCGCAGCTTGCCTCCTCGAGCGCTGTCTCCGGCGTCCAGGAATTACTCAATGGGTGCATCTGCTGCAACCTCGTCGGCCAGCTGAGCACCGCCCTCGCCGAGCTGCGCCATTCTGTCCGCCCCGACCGTATTGTCATCGAGACCTCAGGCTCTGCGTTCCCCGCTACCCTGGCTATCGAGGTCAATCGACTGGCGCGCGAGACTGGGGGCCACTACGTACTTGATGGTGTGGTTAGCGTAATCGACGTTGAGAATTGGAAGGGCTACGAGGACACGAGTTATACGGCGCGTGTACAAGCCCGGTACACCGACTTGATCGTCTTCAATAAATGGGAGGCGTGCGACGAGCGCAGGTTTGACGAGTGCCTTGATCGGGTCGGTGATCTCGAAGTTGACGTCGCCTGGGTAAAGAGCGATAAGGGGCGTGTCCCTGTGGACGTCATATTTGGCATTGATGGTGGATTGGCGAGAACCCTAACGGAAGGGTCGGCGGCGAATGGTGGTCACCATTCCCATCACAATCACGATTCAAACCACGATGATGGCCATAGTCACCAGAGTGAGGTTGAAGTACTGTCAGTTAGTCTCACGGGAAGCGCCGACAGCGCTGTCAATGCGACGAAGTTGATGGCACTGCTGAACGCGGTACCCAAGGATGAAGTATACAGGATCAAGTCGGTATTGACAGCATCCTCGACGGTTCAAGGTTCTAGCGAAGACGAGTCGGCACTGCCGTCTACTCCGCCGAATCGTTCGGGCAGGTACATTTTGAACTGGGCGTTTGGGAGGTGGACTTTCACACCTCTTGACCCAGAGACGGTCGAGCACGACTCAAGCCATCAAATTATACTACGCATGACGATGATTCTAGCAAGGTATGAAAGCGCCAAGTGGAAAAACAAATTAGAAACAGGTGGGTTTCTCGAGCTAGACGGCGATGAAAAAGGCGAGCTGAAAGTTGTTGGCGTTTCTTAAATTTACAATACCTACTCCTTTATTATTATTATTATTATTATTATTATTATTGTTATTGTTATTTTTGTTTTTTTTTAAAAAAAAACCGTATAGTTAAACTAGAACTAGAAGAAGCAGACTAGATTATATATACTACAACATAGGAATGTGCTTTTTGTCTTTCACTTCCACAGCCATAGCTAATCTCCCGTAAAGAAATTAGTACTATGTAGGTAGCTAACAATGCTCGCGGATCATTACAAATCCTACCATCTCCTATTTCCCTATTTCATGATTTATTACGTGAATATCATTACGCCTCACTTGCTACTTCCCCGTAGTGTTCGCTAGTAGAGCTCTGATTAATAGCCCTGGAACGTCGACATGTGCCATTTAAAAGCCGATTGGGTACCCAAGTACGCGCTTTTTCGCCTTGAGATGGACATTTATGGTCATCTATATGACCTGGGTATTGTTTTGTTTTGTTCTGTTTTCTTCTTGTTACTGTAGGAACCGAGTGGCTTCTTCTCGTTCAGCGCCACAGGTCTCGATCGCCCTTCTTCTTTCCATGACTACTGCCGGGACGAGGCCATGCGTCATCTCTAAGGCTGCTCGAGCTCGCAGTGCTTCCATTACGAGCATGCCCAGCTGGCACAGAGAGATGACCCATTGCCTGAGAAAGCGAGCCTTTTCGAGATCCTCCAGATTGCCATCCAGAACCTACATCCGCAAGGCCGTAGCTACTCAGGGGCCGGCCACTGAGCGAGCCGTTGCTTCGATGGCCTTTACGCCCGTTACTCATACCATTGTAGGCATCGAAGGGGTCCACTATAAGCCAATAGTTAGTAGTTACACATTGCGGAAGGCTTTATAAGACGAAATTGAATTTGTAGACAGGGGTAAGACTGTCAGCTGGCGATCTGGGGAAATTGGCAAAGTTGATCAGGCACTTACTTCTAATGCTTCCCCAATCAAGGTCGTCTTCTCCTTTCGTAAAAACCTCCAATGACTGGCTGAGTAGCCGCGTGCCTGTTTTCGATGGTCCAAGTGCTGCCGCGAACGGGTTATTGGAGCTAAAGCGTGGAGAGGCATTGCTAAAGCTTCCCGTAAGGCCCGGCGAGGGGAGCCCGTTGCCCACGTTGAACATGGCGGCGCTACTTGAGCTGCTGGGACGTTGCTGTCCTCCTGCAAAGCTGGGCATAGGCGGTGGAAGACCAAGGAGAAGGTCTGGGAAGTTTTGATCGCGAACGTACACGGCCGAGAGACGCGGTAAACCTCCGGCAAAAAGGGAGGAAGCTAGGTAGTTATAATAACCGGCCGTGAGACCCACGTAGGCAGGGGTAGCTGACGACGCCGTGATTTCGTAGCGCAGCGTTTGTAGGGACCAGTTGACCAAGGGAGGAATGGAGTGAGAAGGAAATACCGAGTCTACCTGATCAATAACAGAGAGTGCTGTAAGGTTCGGGGCTTGCGCCAACACGGTGTATAGGTTGGGAGCCTGAACACCGGTGTTGGAAAGAGACAATACCTTCAGTTGCCTCTGTGTGTCGTCTCTAGACAAATACGCCACAAGGCCGTCGGCAGTAACTCTTGGCGTATCTATCAATATAATTTCTTCCAAAGCCGGAAAGGCAGGTAGCACGTCGTTGTACCTAAATATGTCGTCATCTATGATCCTACAGTCAGTCACCTTCAGAGCGCGCAGGCGCTGAAGTACCGCCAGGACATGGCGTAACGCTGCAGGATCCATGCTGATCCTAGTCAACTCCACTACTTCGAGGTTCTGCCAAAAGCTGCCCGTGCTCAACGCCTCCAAGCTCCGCTCGCTGCCACCTGTATAGGCCATCTTCCTGAGGTCAGGACAACGGGCCTGTACCTCGAGCTTCAGAGTATGATAAGCAGGATCATCGCAGTACAATCCCTCGGGTAAGTCGACGTAGCGGAGGTTTGGCAAGACTGCAATGGTCCTTGCCAACGTAGAGCTACTCGACTCTCTCAGCATATAGGGTGTCTTGAAGTATTGGACGAGCTTGCCGAGCCGGGTTGGGTCTTCACGCAGTGAGCGGCATAGCAGCTGTAACCGAGCGTTGGCTGTGTCTTCGGGGAGCCCATTGCGATCAAAGCGACTCCTGCGTTTTCGTTTCTCGGATAGGTCGATCTCCAATTCGCAATAGTGTACGGAATCGATACGGATACTATGGTACCTACCAAAATCAAAGGGTGCGAATTTCAGCAACGAATTTATACAACCGACATCGTATCGAAACAACCACCCAATTGATATTCCAGGGATATTTTACTAAAGGGGGAACTTACATCAACTTGACGGCCGCCACCCTCCAGCGCTTACAGACTTGGCCAGCGTGGGAGAGGTCGCGCAGGTCGCAGAGCATACAGGCATCCTCCAAGGCGCTTTGTTCACATGTCTCGTACGACTCGTCGCAGCAATGTGGGCAGACGAAGGAGAATACCCTCTCCAAGATAGGAGGGGGTAGCTCTAGCCAGGGAGCGAAGACGCGACCTCTTCCAGCGTCTATACCGGCATAGTTGTTCTGGTAATTGTTCTGGTAACCGTTTTGGTAACCGTTCTGACGAGAGTTATACGAGTGATGATCATCTCGACCGTAGCCGCCATAAGTTGAGAAATCAGTTGGTTGAGGCGGTTCCGACGATTTCTTGCTACGGCGGAAGAACTTCTTCATGGCGAACTTCATGGCGAAGCCAGGCTGGGGTTAGATGATATGGACGTTCGCAAGAGAAAGCCACGCTGCTCGAGCCTGTCAGGATAATGAATTAATAAGACATTTATACAGATATACGTACGTCCGTATCACATACTCGAACCGCATATGTTTCTCCTGCAGGAAGGGTATTTGAGTGCATGTAGACAGACAGACAGACGATTGTAGGAATGGAGATGAAAAGATCAATCAATGGTTTACAACACGTACATCCAGGACATAATCAACGCTCACAGACGCTTTGTTTAAAAAGCAGTTTAAAAAGCGAGAGGGTGGGGAATCAAAGGGAGCCCTTTTTAATTGCTTTGCATACTGAATTAAAGGTGGGACCTCTTGGGAATGATGTAGATAATATACGGATTATTGTACCTCAGGTACCACCTCCAGGCTCAGGTACCTGCGTCTGAGGGTTTAGGTACCTGTCCATCTTCACGATGCCCCCATAAAATTTATGAATTATAGGTATCCACCTGTAGGTACCTGAGCATATTACCATAGAGGTACCTAACACTTCCACCCATCACAGGTATGTACCTAAGTACCTAAGGTTATGTAGGTATCATTAGGTAAACGTGAGTTAAATAAAAGGGTATGATATAAACTTTTAATATCTGCTAGCTAATGCGTTGCTATGCAATTCACTATATAAAACAATATCCAATGATTTTACCTTCTGTTTACCCCTCCCCCCTTCTAACCAAAGGGATATAACACTACATGCACCCACCAATTAACTTCCCTCCCCGCCGCACCAACCAACTTAGGTACCCAACCACAGCCTAACCCTGACAAGCTATCATTTCCCGGAAACACACGGCCCTTATTCCCGGTACCTATTCAATACCTAGCTATTCGCCCTTACTGATTCCCGTTGAGCTGGAGAGGCGATGCTGACCCGGAGATGTTGGACTTCTTCGTTCGTAGTGTCAATGGAAATGGGTACTCATCTGGATCTTCCTCCTCCCTACATTATCATCACAGGTTAGCTAAAATGGTCAACTCACGTCAAGTTCATTTACTTACGGTAGCTTCCACGCCACATAGTCTTCTGTACTTAAACCCTCTCTCCCTTCTTGCAGGCTCGCGAAATCACCAGGCGTCATCATGCCTGTGCGATCTCGGGGGGAACCTGGGACCGAGAACGGCCGTGAGATCTTCTGCTCGACCCCAGGGATGAAGTCGTCTTCCTCGTCGCCGGAAAATGATCCCGGGTACGCTCGTCGGAGGGCCAACTGCCGCGCTTTGACGTATTCCATTCCCATCCTCTTCCAATCTAGAAGATCGCTGAGTCTCTCGGTTCGATTGCGCTGGTTAATCCGTTGGCGCCGACTCTTCTGGCAGAAATCAAACATGTGCGAGGTAAGCTGGTTAACCGAGTCGTCCACACCTTTATTGCGTCGGTCCACAATATAAATACCGTAATCGGCCGAGTTCTCGATCAGTTCTTCCATATAGCAGCCGAAGCCAGACAAGTTGGTTGTGATACTGGGGACACCCATAACAGTACACTCGGCAGGAGTATAACCCCACGGTTCGTAATAAGACGCGAAAACGCCTAGATTTGTGCCACGCACGAAATCGTCGTAATCCAGGGGTAGGATCGGGTTCGACGAATTTAAGAACTCGGGATGAAAAACAATCTTAACGCGGTCGGACGGATGGTTGAAGAGCTGAACTCGCCGTATCTGGTTTAGAATGGGATCCTCTGAATCATTCACCATGTTGTGTGTAACGATAGGTGGTAGACCGTGTCGTTTCATAGCAAAGAGACGCCGCCGGAGGACAACTCTGTCGGCGCTGGTAATGAGCTCCTTCTCGTCAGGCATCGGATCGCCGTCATGCCACCTTAACGACCGTTCAAAGATGCGACGCCCAATCCCACGCTCGATCACGTCGACAGTATCGCGGAGAGACTTGATGACTGCCTGGCCCTTGAGTGCTTCTACTGTCAACGAGGTCGTTTGCGCAGGCATGATGATGAATGCTACAACAGTTGTCTTGCTACCAGAAGTCTTCAGTCGATGGTTCAGACGTGCGAGCGACTCGATAAACATGTCGACACCCTTATTTCGGAACTCGTAGCGTCCAGAAGTGAAGAAGTAGAGGGTATCTTCAGGCACGAAGTCGTAATGACCGTAGAAGTGGCCCCGAACAAAATCATGGATCTTCTCCTTGGATTGCTGGTGCAAGTTCTGGAACTCGTGAATTGCTGAGAACTTGGTAACGTTGAGTCCGTTGGGTAATACGCCGTCAGGCTTACGTTTAAGCAAGTGCTCGCTCTCAAAGGCCGTGATGTGGGAAACTGTGGTGAAGACGTCGCAGGAGTGCGCAGCTGCGCGTTCTATACAGTAACGGTGATAGATACCGCGTTTTCCAGCTTCCGCATCCACGTCAAACCACTGCAGATTATTATAAAAGTCGACAGAACCTGCGCAGAGATACCGACCTAGGAGAGTTGCGTGAGTAGTGAAGACCGTGGTGACATCTATGCGCCGTTTCTTAGTTAGCGGTAGCGCGACACCGGCAAGCCATTCATGAAAGTGGGCGATGACAGCCTTGGTCTTCTCGTGACAAACGAACTATACCGAAAGGAAACAGTTGGTTAGCGAGGTCCCGGGCCGTATGTGCGAGAAAAGCGTACCTCTCCAAGAAACCATGCAACCAAGTAACCAAAGACAATTGCTTCGTTCGTTTCCTCGTCGCCGGGGGGGGAGGGGATACTGGCAACATTCCACAAGTCCGCTTTCCACTCATCCATGTATCCATATGCCGTCTTGGTGTCAATTAACAATACTCTAGGAGCACCTTCAATGAGCCATCGTCCATAAAGCATGCCGATACCCCGGTTCCTCATAGCCTCGATACTAGCAGCAAGTTCGGGGTTACTTGGCTCGAGCTCTTCAACCTCTACGGCGGCCTGTTTTGTTTTGGTCAGATAGACGCATTGGAAGGCGTCTGTGGTAAGTGAGTAAGAGAGTAAGAGACGTACAGATTGGTGGTTGAGAGGGCCGATCAGCGTATATCGGTCGCCATACTCAGCAGTAGTGACAGGCGCCTTAGACTTAATGACGGAGTATATGCCACCAACTGGGATTGAGGTTAGTTTTAGAAATTACAGAGAGCTTACGTCGGGGTTTGCAAGACATACCACGATGAGCTACCTCGGTTGCGACCTCAAAGAGTATGTGATTTTTTACCTCGCGGGTAGCTTTCTCCCCGCTTTCAGCCATTCTGATATATATGGTGGGCGCAGCAGATCTGAGTGCGCAAAAAGTAACGAGCAGCGAAGTGATAGCAATAGGGAGGCAAGAGAGAACCTGTAACTATATTTAATAAATCTGACGCGGTTAGCATTAGGTATGAGTTATGAGAGAAATAAAAAAAAATAAAAATAAAAAATAAAAAATAACAATCCTCCCTCGATTCTTAGTGCAATTAGATCCGAGGTAGCTCTCACCCAAGGGACCCAAAACAAATATTGTTACTAACCTTTAAGCCTAGATAGCTCAGTACTTGGTGACCCCGCGATGTACGAGATTCAGGAAGATGGTCTGATCAAGAGGGGGAAAAGGGAGAATGGAACTTAAGAGGAGGGGAAGCAAAGGAAAAGGGAGGAAGAAAAAAAAAAAAAGATGTTATTCAAATTCCAAGGTGGAGATTTGGGAAGATGGAACGGGGACCAGAACTTCCATGCATGCTCTCAATGAAGAATTCATATGGAGGCGCTTTTTTTGTGGTTTGGCATCATTGCGTGCACTGGGCAACAAGGAAATTCAACCTACCTGACTGAGGAAATCTACCTAAGCTGCCTGGGTACCGTTAGGGTACCTACCTAAACCTACCTTAACAAGGTTAGACATATTCTTCTCCATCGCATGACATCCTTACCTATATTTCATGTTTAACTGCTTATTTAGATGTTTACTAGTGCTGTCTACGTATAACTCGACGCCGCACCCCAAAGGGGTGCTGCGCTTTAATTAAGGAAACGGGCAAGATTAGGGATTCGATCCGAAATACTTCCGAACAAGTGTAATTCCTACGCGTTTCGAAGTATTTTCCAACATTTATAAAATTTCATAAAATATTATTATTCCTCTTCCGCTTTCAGCAGGTAACAGGGATCGGAATAACCTCTTACTGGTGCCTGAAGTCTGGTACGCTAACTTAATTACTGCCCGATTTCCTAATTAAAGCGCAGCACTAGTAACTGCTTAGATGCTTAAGATGCGTATGTAAGCAGCTACGTAGGTACCTACCTAAGTAACCCCTCCTCCCATCTACCTCCCCCATGGGACCCGCAATCCCGCAAAGTTTGCCATCATAACTCCGCGCCGCTCCAAGTTTCCCCCGGAGAGGTTAGTACCTAGGTAAAATGTATCTAATTTCGGTAATGGAATGTGGTGTAGTGTAGTATTAGGTACCTAATGTAGTTGGGAGTTAGGTTTTAGATGATATTTCAGGCATACATTTTTTTTTTTTACAGATGAGTTGCTGGAGCGGCATCTATTTAAGTCGTGCTGGAAACGTTTCATCGGCGCCTATACCTAATCGTAACCACTTAATTTACAAATACCATCGTAGTACAGAATAGGTAGCCTCACTGTCCTGTCATGCAGGGATTGTGAAAAAGGCGAGAGATTCCCAAGGCGGGGGCTGGTTTTAACGGGCTAGCAGGCTAGCTGTAGTCGATAAGAAAAAGATGTGATGTGTGTGCGCCGATGGATGGGTATCAAGTTCTGCCAAAGGATTTCTTAATGTTCCCCTCTGTTAACTCTCTCCACATGTCAAAAAGTGGCGGATACCCTTCGGATAGGTACCTAAATACCTAGGTACAATACCTAAAGGCAATGCGGGGAGCTGGGCTGCAAGTTAATTTGCTTAGGTGCCCGCGTACCCAATTGCGGGATAAAAATGATAGCTCCACTCAAATCTCATCTTCCATTCAACATCTTTCTTGGGTACACACAATAATTACCCGCCGCGGGGTCCCATCTATGTTTTACCAATATTCTCAAAAGGAATGAAAAAATAAAAACAGAGAAAAAAAAAAAAAAAAAAAAAAAAAAAAAAAAAAAAAAAAAAAAATGGGGGGGGGGGGGGGGGGGGGGGGGGGGGGGGGGGGGGAATCCAAACCCGCCCGGCCATGGGGGGGTGGGGGGGGGGGCACCGGGGCCGAGGAACCGCGAACCGGTA